TGTAAGCTGGGCTGATACCTGTGCACCATGTGCATCCTACTGGGTTTGAAACACCAGTGGCTCAGCCTCAAAACTCACATCAACACATCACCACGGTAGGACAAACCGACGGACAAGTTTGTCTCCCTGTTGGAAACCTCTTGTATCCAATACTTAGATAGTCATTCAGAATTATCCAGAAGAGCAAATTTTGAGCTGGGAAGAGCAGAGTTACAGTGATATTTTCACTACTGAGTCAATTTTTGTGATTATAGACATCATTCATGACTGCAGGGCTACACTGACATAGTCTTATGTCTTTTCTGACTATAAAATACATAATTTTACTGCAAATTTAGAAAGGCTAAAAATTACTTAAAATCCCCAGGGATTTTTTTTCCTCCTCTCTAATTAGGTAAGACTATACTTTTTATATCTTATTAATTTACTGATGATTCGTTTTCACACCACATGGAAAACCTATTCACAAATACCGATCTCTAAGGAAAATGGAATGACGATTACATTAACAAATGCCATGTGCTCCAAGAAAAATGCAAAAATGACAACTTATAAATGTGTACATCTTATTCATGTTTGTATTTCTAGTTCTTAAAACAATGTTTAGTAAATATTTATTGACTAATTATTTGATAAACCAGAATAGATCGAAAAACATGACCACAAATTCTTCCCAGCTCCATCCTTCAAGAATAGGATTCTATTTTTCTCATCCTTTGAATGTGGACTGGCCTTGTCACTTGTTTTAACCAAAGAATGTGGTGGAACTGATTTTGTGCAAGTTTCAGATCCTTGTAGCAAAAAGCCTTATAGTTTTCGTCTTTCCGTTCTTGGAGACTTGAGACCATCAGGCCATAAAGTAGCCTGGGAAGAAAGACCAGTTGATAAAGCGATTCAACCTCCAGCTTAGCCACCAGCAGAATGCAGCTCCAAGAGTGAGCGCAGGCAAGACCAGCAGAACCACCATCCAGTCAACCCACAAAAGTGTGGGAAATAAGAAGTTATGATTTTAAGCCACTTAGATTTGGGGTACTTTGTTACATGGCAAAAGAAAACTGTTAAATTTGGAAATGACAAACTGAAATAAATCCTTAACATGAACTGCATGATGTGGAACTCTGCATACCCTCTCTATTGTTGACTTCTCAACTCAAGCACTATGTCTT